TGTACTCAGAATAAACTGCATGTTTCCTGTAACTCCTGGTGAATCTTGTGTACATGGACTAAGTTCTTATTTTGAATAACAGCAATTCTGGGTCAGTGCAGAACCCTGGGGGAAGCCAGCTGAGCTCTTGTTTTTAAGTTAAGAGTAGTAGTGTTTAAATGGGCAGCCTGCGTTGAAAAAAAAAAAAGTGTGCGGTTGAGCTTGGGCTGGTCTCAGGTGCCTGCCCTCCTCTCCTATGTGGAGAGCAGCGTTCTGGGGAGTTAGTTCTCCCCCTCAAATGCAAGCATCCTTTGCGTTTTGTCATCGCTACTGTCCCGCCTCCCACCCCGCCCAGGGAGCTTTTGTTTTAATGAAAAATGGGCATTTAGATCGTATCATTTATTTACTCTGCTGGGCCACATTTGCTCTCTCTCGAGCTCCCTTCTTCACTCTCAATAGCAGTGACCGCTTCTGGAAACTGACACACGTCCCCAGAACTAATACTTTAGGGTTCTAGAGAAAAGTGTTTTCCCATAACCAGTGCTTACTTACAACTAGGATCGATAAGCCGGTTTTATTCAAATTCACACAGGAATCATTATACTGTGTCCGTTACTTCAGCATTCTTCTCTGATAATTTTCTTCTTTTGCTGTTAATACGTAGATTCAGTCTGTTGTACTTAGCTGCTAGAGAATATCCCATTGTACGACTGTATTTATTTACTTGTCTATTCTTTTTTTTGGCTGCAATTCATGCTGCACTGAACAGACTGGCGTATGACTCCCCATGCACACATGCCATTTTCTTGGGCATAAGTAGTAGCTAAGTATTCTGGAATCTAGAAATTCTTTCCTACTGCAAAGTCTTAAGAAGCATCCTCTTGGGAAATACTTGTCAAAGCTTTGCTTTTTGCAAAGACATCTGGAATTGATAAGAAAGTATCATTGTTTACTCCCATTCTCTTAAGAGAAGTAGCTGTGATACCCAGAATGTCTGTGAATCTCTTGAAAAGTCTCATCTGATTTCTCTATTCAGAAATGAGGTGTACCAATTAATACCATTGTTTTGTGTTCTTTGGACTGAACCCTGGTCTTCATGATGCTAGGTAAGCGCCTGTGCATGCTAGGTAACTTTGGAGTTGCATCCGTAACCCCAATATGCTTGATTTGTTAGTGGGTAAAGACACACGAGATTTCTTTTTCCTTACATAAAAGATATTTCAAAAGGTGCAATAATAGCACTTATATCCTGGGGTAACCAACAGCCACCTAATGGGGACTTAAGACCTACTCAATAGGAGAGAAGTCACTCCTAGCCCTGTGAACTTAGCTAAGTATTTGTGGCTAGTGAGGTCAAAGGTCTTGGGAGACAACCTACTACTACTTTCCTAAGCCAGTAAAATTCCTACCTGTATTCTAGATCTTGTCCTTATACCCATAGAGAAGTGCAGCTCTCACTCAGTCAAAGAGGCTTCTTTTTATGGCAAAAGAAGACCATCACAGAAAGACACCACAGGTCAAACTGTGAAGATCAACTGCCCTTGGGGTATCTACTTCCAATTAAGACATTTACAGCACATACAACACAATCCCTACCCTTAACACCCAGGAAGAGGGAGCCAGGAGATTAGAGACTGAAGACTAGAGCTTCTGCTGTGAAGTAATATATATATATATATATATATATATATATATATATATATATGAGAGAGAGAGAGAGAGAGAGAGAGAGAGAGAACACAAAGTTGGGAAGGAGGGCTAAGGCATGGATTTGGGAGGGGCTGCAGGGAGAATGTGATCAAAATAAATGGTATGAAATTTTCAAAAATTAATAAAAGACCTCCCCTCCCCCAAAGGGTTTCTCTGTGTACTCTTGGCTGTCCTGGAACTTACTCTGTAGAACATGGCAGCTTTGTAACTCAGAGATCCACCTGCCTCTGCCTCCCCAGTGCTTAAAGACTTAGAGGTGTTTTGCCACCATCTCTGGCAAAATACCATTATTTTAAAAAGAGTGTGTTGCCACACTGCTGCAGTAGGCCATTGTAGGCTACATAGCGTTAGGGAGAGCTGGTCACAATGCCAGCTCTTTTGCTTCATGGATGAAGTTGTAGGGGCTGCTGTGTAGCTCACTGTATATGTGGCCCAACAGAGAAGGGAGAAATGCCCAGCTAGCATTTGCACTTAACATTTGGTTTTGGTGTTGGCTGAGGCTATTTGCAATTTGAGGAAGGAATATTATCTTTGTTATTAAGTTTGTTTTGACATTAAACTTTATGTAGCTGTCCAGCTAACTGAGGGCAAGAGAAGGCTGAGTTTTTCGACTCTTTGAAAACTTATTTTCCATCTTTAAAAAAAAGTTATTAGCTCTTTGAAAGTTTAGATGGCTGAATTTTTATCTGAGCATGGAGGGCATGAGGAGGGCCTCCTGGTTTATCAGCCCGTTTTCACCAAATCACCACTTTCAGTGGGCTCTAACTTCAGAGAGGAAGCTGCCACTGTTTTTATCTTCATATTAAAAATAAAATTTTCTAGCCCTCCTGACCTTTGAAGAATTAGAGCCTGGTAGGACCCAACTCTCTGGTGTATAGAACTTGGGAAAGTGGAATGTGGTCTTGGTCTGTAACGTGCACAGTGTGGTTGACTTCGTTCCCATTCCGGTTTCATCCTTTTGTTGGTAGTGTAAAACCTCAGTTAACGAGCTGCCTCTTTCATGTCTCCTATTCTTACTTCACGTGGAGATTACATTTTGCAGTTTGAGACTCTATGTTTTAAAAACCTTTATGTGTTTAGCTTTACTTTAAAACATTTGGATAAAACATTCTGTTTCTCCAGGACAGCCTCCAAAACAATACAGAGAAACCCTGTCTTGAAAAAACCAAAAACCAACCAACCAACCAAACAAAAACACATTCTGTTTCTTGTGTGAGACAGTACCAACACTTTTTGCTGTTTATGACCCCCCTTGCATTTTTACCAGTAACTACTAGATAAGTCAGTTTTTTAAAAGTCTATATCCTGTGTGTGTGTGTGTGTACATGTGCAGGTAAGTATATGTGTGTGTGTGTGTGCAGTAAGTGTGTATGTGTGCACATGCAAGTGTTTGTGTGTCCCTGTAGGTAAGTGTGTGTACATGTAGTGTGTCAGTGTGCATATACAGTGTGTCAGTGTGCACATGCAGGTGTGTGTGTGCACATGCAGTAAGTGTGTATGTGTGTGCACACGCAGGAATGTAAGGACAGAACTCAGGAATCACTTCTTTTCTTCCATGGGCCCCAGGGATTTAACCCAGGTCCTCCAAATTGCACAGCAAGCACTTTTATTCCCTAGAGTCATCTTACTGTCCCAATAAATCATTTTCTTAAGAACTGGTCATACAACTTTTCTTTTTTTGACCTTCTGATTTAGACAGTAGTTTATTAGCTGTGACTTAAAAAGACACAGATGGCAAACAGATTTAATCATAAGTAACTTTTTAAAGCTTCAAAGGACATGGAAAGTGAAAAGTTAACATAGAATAAGATAAAATCTTTGTAATCATGTACCTACTGAAGGTGTGAGTCTAGAAGATGTTGAGAACCCTGATAACAACAGTGAGTGAAAATCCACTTTGAGCCTGGTGGTAGTGGTGCATCCCTTTAATCCTAGCCCTGGGGGAGGCAGGGGCGGATCTCTGAGTCCCAGCCCAGCCTGTTCTGCAGAGTGAGTTCCAGGACAGCCAGAGAAACCCTGTCTCAAAAAAGCAAGCAAACAAAAGTAATCCAATTTGAATAATGGTTTTAGCATTTAAATAGATATTTCTATAAAGAAAGCATAAAATTACACATAAGTGTAGGGAGAGATCTTACGTACCTGTAGCACTAACCACGCCCATTTGGGTGTGGCCACAGGTACCTGGGAGAAGGCCAGGACATAAAGAGCTAGGAGGAAGAGGACACTACTCTCTTGGGGTTCTGGTCGAGGCTTGGAGACCAGCAGAGCGCTGACCTCAGGTTCTCATGTAAGTGACTTCCCCCTCAATAAATATTATATGACAACTTACCCTGCCTACCCTGTGTCGCTCCATATTCCTCTTTATGTCCCTGCCTTCTCCCACGTACCTGTGGCCACGCCCAAATGGGCATGGTTAGTGCTACAGGTATGTAACATCTCTCCCTACATATAAGCATATGAAAGGTACTTGTACGAGATTTGTTAAAGACATTCAGCTGGACATAATAGTGTTCACCTTTTATTCTAGTACTCAGGAGGCAGAGGCAGGCTGATCTCTGAGAGTTTGAGACCAGCCTGGTCTATGTATAGTGTTCAGGCCAGCCAGGACTGCACAGTGAGCCCCTGTCTCAACCAAAAACCAAAACCTAAACCCAAACCAGTAATAAAGACATTCAGTCAGAGGCATAGTCAGCCCCGTCCCATGCCTGTCACAGTTTTTATTGCTCCTTTTCTAGATGTCTTGGGCATTAAGATGCAGTTTCTCCAGAAATACACTAGAAGTGAACTTGACTGTTTTTGGATTTTTAATTTATCAAATTCCTCTGCTCCAGAAAAAGTCATGACTCATCAAATAAAAACGGGGCAGTTTTTAAGTTACTAGTTCTGGTTAAAATTGAGACATCGAGGTGTCTTAAAGTCATAGTGCCCAGGGCCTTGAGCATGTTAGATAGAGGTTCCGCCTCCTAAGTGCTCATCTCGTCCTTGCTTTAAATTCTTTAAAGTTCCCCGTGGTTTGTGACAGGAACGCTGGAGATTTCTGGGGAGCATCACTGTCACTGCTATGGCCTCCTCTGATAGGTCATCCCCTGATTCTCCCCCCCCCATGTTTCCTTCTTTTCACACCTTTGGTTCCTCTCACATGTCAAGGGCTGAGTCTACAGTTATGGTTTCCCTTTGACAACTAAATTATATTCCTAGCACTGCATATATAGACAGAAAATCTCAAGCAAACCAGAAAAAGTACTCTGAAAAAAGGTAAAACCCACAAGAATTTAATTGCTTTGCTTTTTTCTGTTTTTGTTTTTTAATAGCTTCCTCCAGTCTATTCACAACGGTGCCTAGTGGTGTCCCGAAGTCTCAGTTCTATGGGATGTGACCCTCAAGAAAAAGTAAGTACTTTAAAAAACACCCTCAACAGCTAAGTTAGAATGGTTACATTTTCTTGTTGCCATATGATGTTCAGTAGACTGAATTTTTTTTGATATTGTAATTATTTTTTTGTATTGCCAAAGTATCACAGACTTCTTTTTTTTCTTTCTCTTACACATGTGTGCGTATGTATACATGTGTGCCTGTCCCTGTGGAGGGTAAAGGAGAAAGAACATCTGTGTCCTGCTCTATATTCTATGACTTAACTCCCTTGAGGCAGGGTCTCTCACTGAACCTGCAATTAGGCCTGCAGCAAGCCCCAGGGATCCGACTCTGCTTCTCACTGTACTGGTGTTACAGGTACCCGGGCGGCCATGCCTAGGTGTTTTTATGGTTGTTAGAGATTTGAACTCAGATCTTCAAGTAGCACATGGTGTTTTACCAACTGAGCCATCTTCCTAGGCCCTGATTACTTCCTTATCAAACATTTTCTTAGTGAATTATATCAGATCAAAAATTAAGGTAGGAGAAATTTACTTTTTAAATTCATCTATTTGCATAAATATGCATGGCCAAGTATTTGTACTTATCTGCTTGTTTGAGAAGTGGTCTGATTATGTAGCTCAGGGTGGCCTCAGACTCATGGTCCTCCCCCCTTAGCCTTCTCCGTGATGGAATTACAGGTGTGCGCAGCCATGCTTGTCCCTACAAAGACTTTCGAAGTTTTGACATGTTAACTTGTTTCATGAACGTTCATTAAAATAAGGACTTAACCTGACAGTGCTTTGTTTGGACGAGAGCCAGAAGTTTGAGCGGCCCCCAAGTCAGCGTGGGCCAGCACCACGTGAGGGTGTGCTTCTATAAGCTCGACCTCAGGTGGCATTATGGTGCAGTGAAGAGCACCTGCATTGTAATTGTGTCCTCCTGTCAATCACGGAGCTCTCTGACATTAAGCTGTGTAGCGTCCGGGCCTTCCCTCTGGTTTCCCTTGCCTGGAGTGCTGTGCTACCGCCCAGACGTATCCAGCGACTGACTCTGTCTAGAGTTGTGCTTTCATCCTCCATGGCGGACTCAGGAGACAGGACGAGCTCGTTCCTTCTCCTGGTCTCTGAATCGGAGAGACGCGACGTGCCAGTGGTAGCCTGTAGTCCCAATAGAGACTGATGAAGCACAACGAACAGAAGGAAGAGAGGAAGGAAAAGCGTTGAGAGGATGGTAAAGAAGAGCATCGGGAAACTGTGTAACCATCGTTAGCACAGCCGCAGAGCAGCCACGAGAGTTCCCCACTTCTTCTGGTACCCAGAAGCCCCTCTGTCTTCAAGGATTCAGGCTCCTGGGTTTTTGTTGTGCTTTTGTGTTTTTCTTCAGGGTACAGCCTTAGCTGTGGTTCTCTACATAAAGCATAAAGTCTGTTGCTTAAATGTCATTAAGTGCTTTCCTTATCTGGTATTTTATCGAACATGTAGGCATCTCAGAACCATCAGTGATTCCACTTTCAGGGGATTCAAAACCCTCTTCCAACCTTGACAGGCACCAGGCACACACATGCACATACATACACATACATCCAGAGAAATCATGCATATACATACACATACATCCAGAGAAAGCATGCATATATATATATACACATACATCCAGAGAAATATGCACATACACATACATCCAGAGAAAGCATGCATATACATAAAAACAAACAAGTTTAAGAATCTTCTGAGGCATCTGTGTGTCTTAAAAGGAAATCTATGGCTGGAAGGTTGATGTTAATGATCTATCAGTATCGAGTTCATACAGTGCTTGATTATAGAAGACTGGTCAAGTGCAAATATTGATTTTCACACAGTTTTCTTGCTGGTTAGTCAGTTTGGCATGAGTGCTATAGGAATGAATACCAGTCACGAGAGCTAACGCTCTTTGCGTGTGTACTTACCATCAGGCTTCTGTGTCATGCTCACAAGCTCCAGTGGTAGGTGCTTTCTTGGTCCTTGCTCTGCCTACTAGGAATCCAGGGTAGGAGAACATGTGGAATTGTTGGTTCCCGTTCCGGCCAGCTTGACTCAGACTGACTTGGAGTCGCCATTGAGCAGGAAGTAGAGGGGCTTTTGCTGTGTCCTTATGATTTGATAATGCTTTATAATAAGTATTTGTGCCAACAGCTGCTCAGTCTGTAACCAACAGCAGCGATCCCGGCACTTTTACCAGACGCAATGTGTTTAATGCTGGTTAAAACTTGACTGTTTCAAACGCATCACACGTGTAAGTGTGGTTTTTCTTAGGAATTATGTACTGTTTAACAGGAACTTACCATGACTGTTTGAACAAAGAAAGGTAGATGACCTCATGATATCAGGCCTGGGTGAGAGTAGATTATTTAGGGGTTCATGCAGAGTTTCATTTAGTTTGGAGTTTACTAGTTTTTAAGGCAGCAAAGATGATATCAGGCTGCCTTGTAGAAATAGCTATGTGTGTTTATAAAAGTTAAATCAGGACTTTTGAAGTTTTTCGAGTTTTGAGATTTTTAAGCTTTCCATGAAGGCTAAAATACCATCTCTCCTAAGATACATGAATACCCTCTATTTTATTTTTATTTTATATGTGTGAGTGTTTACTACATTGTACTTGGTACCAAAGGGAGCCAGAAAAGGGTTGTTGTGTCCCCTGGCACTGGAGTTCTGGATGGCTGTGAGCAGCCATGTGGGTGCTCAGAACTGAGACTGGGTCCTTTGAAAGAACAGCAAGTGCTGGGGATTGAACCCAGAACCTTGTAATATGGCAGGCACATTTCCCTGTGGCAATCAGTATAGTTTAGTTATTAGATAAATTAACCTAGTCAATTGATGCTTTAACCAAGTTACCATAGGGCCAGATCCTTCCAGATGAATGTCATTGCTTTCTGGTTGTAAATGAACATATAACTACTATTATTTAATATTACCTAGAGAGTAAACATAGAAACATATATTTATGATTAATTGTGGAAAATCTTGGATTTTTTTTTTTTGGTCCCAAAGTAAGAGTAATGATTTTCTTTTCTGTCTCTTGTCAGACTTTTGATAAAATTCTCATTGCTAACAGAGGAGAAATTGCATGTAGGGTGAGTAGAATTTGAATTATTTTCTATTTTGCTCTGAAATGGATTCGATCCCTTTGCATATAGATCTTTGTTAATAGATGATGTGTTTTGACTAGGTCATTAAAACTTGCAAGAAGATGGGCATCAAGACAGTTGCCATTCACAGTGATGTTGACGCCAGTTCCGTGAGTACATTTTTACTTAGTTTTAATCCGGACTTAATTTGGGTTCTTTAGGATAGATGTGAAAGATACTTGCTTTATTTCTCCCTTCACTTGCAAAAGGTGTATTCAGTTTTTAAAACTACCTAATTGTTCACCATCATCACAATGGAAGTATTATAATGTCTTAACTACTCCCCCACCCCCAAGCCTCAGACAAAGATGGCCAGGCTCATTGCTGGTCAACAAATAGATTAAAACCAAGCACCACAAAGTTAGGTTGGGAGATGAATGGGCTGTTTACACAGCACTCACTTATGAACACCTCCCCAGCATAGTTCCAGCATCACTAAGAGAATGCTGTCACTGTCGAATTTTTCCTAAAGGCATTAATGCATTCAGCTGAAAGTTTGATAGGTGAGAGGTAGGCTGATGCTAATTGGATCTGAACATAAGTAGGTATAGCATGAGACAGTGAATGATACAAAATTTTAGGTGGTGCTTCTTCCTTCCTTCCTTCCTTCCTTCCTTCCTTCCTTCCTTCCTTCCTTCCTTTCTTTCTTTCTTTCTTTCTTTCTTTCTTTCTTTCTTTCTTTCTTTCTTTCTTTCTTTCTTTCTTTCTTTCTTTCTTAACACAACAGGTATTTTCTAGCAGTAATGACCAACAGATGCCTAGAAAGAAATTCCATGGGAAAAGTAGAGTAAGATATGAGTAGTCATACTTTTAAGTCACTGTTTTTTGTCCTTTGTCTCTATTTTTGATAATGTCACTCTTATAGTTTAGTAATTAACTTAGCAGAAATATTTTAAAAGTATGGTGACTTTTTTAAAAAGTGTGTTCTATTTGAAACTGTTACTCATTTTGTCTTAGTGTAACTTCCTGTTTCAAAAATCTAGATAAAAGAATCACAAACTAATTTGCTGAAAACAAATGTTAACTGTAATACATGTCTTCCTGCCTGCTGCCTGGGTTCAGTTGACGCTTTTAGCCTCCAAATAACACACAGGACACCATATTAATTATAGAACTGTTGGCCATTTGCTTGGTTTATTATCTGCTAGCTCTGACTTAATTATTAACCCATAATTACTAATATATATTTTATAAGGACTTACCTTCATGAGGATGCACTTCCGGGAGATCACATGGTGACCAATCTCTTCACTACATTTCCCAGAATCCTCCTAGACTCCTAGACCCACCTATCCTGCTTCCCTATTGGCCAACAGTGTTTTATTGACATATACACAGAACTTCCCCATCAGTTAACTGCACAATTTATTTGATGGTTGTGTTTAAAATATATTTTAATGGGAAGCGGTTAAGTTGGTTTTGCATGCTTATAGTTTGATTTGAAAAAAATCAATCATAGATTCTTTACTAATTTTTTTAATTTGATGATTTTAGTAGTAGATTTTAAAGATTTCTTTCTATTTTCTGTATATCAGTATTTGCCTGCATGTGTGCTTGTGTGCCACCCATGTGCGGTGTTTCTTCTTGGCAGAGGATGGCATCCGAATCCCTGGACCAGGAGTCACACATGGGTGTGAACTCTGATGTGGGTGCTGGGTCCTCTGCAAGAACAGCAAGCGCTGCTAATCCCAAGATAGCTCTCTGCCATGTCAAACGAATTCTTCAAAATTGCCTTTTTTTTTTCTCCTGGGGTGCAGGTGAGACAGGGCCTCATGTACCCTAGGCTGGACTCAGACTCCATGTAACTGAAGATAATTGAAGTTCTTGAGCTTCTGATCCTCTTGTGCTGAGATTACAGTCGTGTGCCCCTATTCCCACTTTATTGTGCTCTGGGGTTGAAACCCAGAACTTAGTGCATGCTGGCCAAACTCCTATCACCTTGAACCCTATATATTCTCTCGCTTTCTTTGTGAGGTTCAAACCAACTGGATGCAGCCTCAAGTCGGCTCTCTGTTGGTGAGATTCTGGTTACATGCAGGGAGTGAAGCTGCAGAAAGTACTGCAAGGGGAAACGGTCCGAGCAGGAGAAAATAAAACGGGAACTTGGGAATCAGGTTTTAGATTTCATTTTGCAGCTTCTGAGAAAGCACAATAATGTGTTTTGAGGAGATCTGTTGATCATGGTTTAGTAAGAGGAAAGTCAGTGCAAGGCTGTCCACTGGGGTCTCAATTGTGTTGCACTGTGTCTGTACATAATACACACTTTTTGAGTGTCCGTACTTCATTTGCTTAGGTTGCTTCCATTCTTTTCAATGGTGTCTTGTAATGGCCTAGAGGGGTCCCAGGAGAGTTGGTAGGGAAAGCACATTCTACAGTTGGGGTAAGCTAGGGCCACTCATGTTAGAACAAGAGGAAAAGACAGGTCTGAATAAATGCATTGATTTGAGGACTACTTTGATGTTTTGAATTTCTTGACTTGCTAATGAGGGTTTTATGGCTGTTTTGCTGACTCAGAGGGCAAAGAAGGGGCATCTCTGCATTGTTAGTTCCTAGTTTACTGTGATTTTAGGTAGTTCAGAGAAGATATAAACTATTAAGGGAACAGAACTTTTAGTTGTCGTAGTGATTAGAGGTTTCCTTAGTTTGGTCAATAGTGCAGAGAGATGGAGAATTCAGAGACTGTATTTCTACTCCTCCAAATGCACTCAGATAGCATCCATTCATTCCTTGAATTATAAGTAAAAAGACTAAAAATTTTTTTCCACATGAAGGAATAAAATACTTTCATTAAACCACTAAAGTTAGAAATTCGGTTTTCAAGAGAAAGACTTAATCAAGCTTAAATTTGAAAGGTCAAGACTCTTCATTTCAAATGAGGAACATGGTTCTTGGCCATACTTTTCCTGTGCTCCCATTTTATGGCTTTGTGTACTGTCACGCTGAATTTAAATGAGCAATACCCGATACTTACAGCTTTGGAACGAGACCCCAGAATCAGGGAAGTGTTCATGGTGACGCGTGTCTCACCCAACCAGCACGCTGTTTAAAGTGTGATTCCTGGTAGGTACTTGAATTTCAGCCTTAGGATTCCATAATGAGATAGAGTGGTATTTCCCGTGAGTACTCTGGGATGATTGACAGTAAGGTGAGGGTGGCCATCCCTTTTTTATGCCTGACCTTGATAATATTTCCCTGCCGGCTGGGGAGGAGTGGACGACAAATAGGCCTTCATGATGCCTGAGTAATTAGTGTATGTTGGTTCCAGCTGAACAAACTGGTGGGCAATGATCAGGTAAATGGACCTGGAATATATTAACATAGGCTGTGTTGTAAGAGACCTGAGGGAAACACTTAACATTTTAGGAGGTGGTTGGAGTAGCCTTATTTCATTCCTTTAAATATATATCATTATGAATTAATGTGTTTATATCTTGGTGAGCATATCTCCAGTTTTACTTTAGATGTCTACCAAGATTAACATAATTGAAATGTAACCGTCTCAAGCATTCCCCACGTAGAGGATACTTCTTGCCATTTTCAAATTGGAAGAGTTAGAGTTTTTTCTTTTTCTTCAACTCATCTGTAGTCCAAGAAAACCTTGAAACTCTCAGAACCTTCTGCCTCAGTCTCCCTAGTAGCTAGGATTTCAGGCTTGTGTGCTGTAACATGATAAATAAAGAACGCAGAGACTGATATTGGGGTTCAAGCTTTAAGCTGACGATCAGAGAAGCAAAGCAGCCAAGCCAGTAGATCTCACCTCTACCTCAGCTCAGACCAAAGGAGCGATCCTCAGATTGCTCCCGACTTCACCACTCCTCAGATTCACTCAGGCTGCTGTGCTTTCCTCAGTGTGGCTAGAGATGCCTGAGACTAACCACTGAAGTCTCTGCTCCTACCTATTATCTCTCTCTAGTGCTGGTATTAAAGACAAACTTGTGTAGCCCTGAGTGGCCTTGAACTCAAGATAGATCCATCTGCCTTTGTCTCCTGAGTCCTGGGATTTAAGGTGTGTGACACCACTGCCTGATCTCTATAACTTGAGGCTGAGTTTGCTTTCTGGCAAGATTTACTAAATCATAAATAATGTATCAACACAGTGTGCGCTTCTAAGGTGATTTATTTAAGTAGCATGGTTCTTGTACATTTATTATTACATTAAATTAATTAATTAGCCAATAACTAATTTGCATATGACTGTTTTGCCTACATTTATGTCTACACCCCATGTGTGCCTGGTGTCCACAAAGGCTAGAAAAGGGTGTTGGATCTCCTGAGATTGGAGTCACATAGTTAGTTGTGGGTCATTTTGTGGTTGCTGGGAATTGAACCCTGGTCCTCTGGAAGAGCAGTCAGTGCTTTTAACAGCTGAGCTACCTCTCCAGGTCTGCTGTGTGCACTATGTCAGGTGTGTAGTCAGAGGATGATTTGCAGGAATCTTTTCTTCCACTGCCCTGGGTGGGTGGGAGAGTAGAAGTTGAACTCTTGGCATCAGAACTGGTATCAGGTATCTACTTACTACTGGATTGTCTTTCTGAATATTTATCAGTAGTAAACAGGTGTTTGCTCAGCAATACAAAGACCATTAGACAGTTGCTCTAGTGCTGAACATGGAGGGAAGGAAGGACTTAGTTTCATAGATTTTGTTTTAGTTCCGGTGCTTAGGTAATCAAAAGGTTGTTAACATTTTTGGCAGGGGGAAGAGGGGCTGCAGAATGAGGTTTTCTTGTGTTGCCTTGAGCTTCTGTGCTGAAGTGATCCTTCAGCCTCACCATCCTGAGTAGCTGGAAGTATTACAGTTCAAGGCCTCTGGGCCCAGAGAATCAAAGGGTTTTTAAATGGCATAGTTGCTTAAAAACTTGCTGTTGTTCACTTTTCTCATAAAACTTATGCATTAGTATCCTTTTTAGCTCCGGAACATGCTGTATATACTTATGCAAATTTGAAACACTAGACCTTTCAATGAAGAACTAATCAGGAGAAGAATGCATGTGAAATGTTGAGCCTTTTTCCCCCCTTTTCTGCTATTATTGTCTTTAGAAAAACTTATTCTGCAGAAACATCATACTCTCTCCATTGTAAATGTTTTGATTATCTTGGCGTAGCTAAATTA